CATGCTGGGAAATGCAGTTTTGGTACTGAACTGCATTTACTCTTACTTTGGTAAGCTTTCGCTTCATGGCCAGCATTTGATAAGGTCCTTTAACTCTACAAAAGAGGACACATCCAAGAAAAGGGGGATAAATAGTAATTCTAATTTAATTTATAAACAGAACAGCTAGAAGAGGACTGGCTGAGTGGGTAAAGGAGTGGCTTCCTAGCTTCAGGGGTTTCTGGATGAGATGGATTATGTAGATCAATTTCAATCTGGCTTTAGACCAGATGGAACAGAAACAGTTTTGGTCTCTTTGGTGGATTACCTATGCCAGAAACTGAATGGGGGAGTGTGTTCCTGTTGGTCCTGCTGGACCTCTCAGCAGCTTTCAGTACAATCATCCATGGTATTCTTCTGAGCTGCCACTCTGATATGGGATATTTGGGGGCACAGTAATGCAGTGGTTCTTTCTTGGAGGGGCAAACTCAGAAGGTGGTGTTGGGGGACTTCTGTTTGACTCCCTGGTCATTGGCCTGTGGTATTCCACAAAATTCAGTTTTGTTCCCTATGTTACGTAACATCAACATGAAATGGGAGAGGTCATCTGGAATTTTGTGGTGCACTGTCAACAGTATGTGGATGACTCTTTTTCTCCTTCCCATCTGATTCTGAGGAAGCTGTCTCTGTACTGAACCAGTGTCTGTTGTCAGTAATGGACTGCATGAGGGCAAACAAAATCCTGTTCTTGAAAAGCCACAGAATAAGCCGAACTGGCACCCAGGATGCATCCAGGATGCATTCGCTTGGCCATGGGCGAATGGAATAAAACCCATTTTAAAAATAAATGCATCTTTATCATGTTGGGGATATGACACAATAAAAGAGAGTGTGCTAATCTCCTATAAGACAAGACAGAGGTGCTTCTGTTAGTTGTAAGGCAGATTAGGGAATAGGGATTTGCCTGTGCTGGATGGGGTTACACTCCCCCTGAAGTGTCAGGCTTGGGTGTTTTCCTGGACTCAGTTCTGAGCTTGGATGCTCAGGTTTCAGTGGTGCACAGAAGTGCACTTGCACGGTTAAAACTAATGTACCAATTGCACCTATTATTTGAAATGTCTGACCTGTATTTGGTGACACATTGTGATTACATCCTGTTTGGACTACTGCAATGCATTCTGTACACAGCTGCCTTTGGAAGCTATTTGCAAACTTCAGTGGGTCCCAAATGTGGCATCCAGAACGCTGACTGGGGCCAGTTATGGGGAGGATATAATTCTCTTGTTGAAACAGCTTCACTAGCTACCAGTTTGCTTCCAGGCACAATTCAAAGTGCTGGTCATGACTTTTAAAGTCCTGTATAGCTTAGGTCCAGACTATTTGAGAGATCACATCTTCCCATATGAAACTGCTAGAGCTCTAAGAGCTTCAGGAGAAGGCATTCTCTCAGACTTGCCACCATTGCAGACTCACTTGGTGAGGACACAAGAGAGTGCCTTTCAGTGGCTGTTCCCACCCTCTGGAATGCTTTTCTATGGGAGGCTAGGTAGGCCTTTTCCTGATTTCCTTTCACTGGCATACAAATACATTTTATTTAAGCAAGCTTTTAATTCTTAAACAGATAGGTTCTTAATATAGATATATGTTTTATCTGTAATTAACTTTTGTATAATTTTTAATCAGTTTTATAGTGTTTTAATGTGTTTTTAAAGATTGGTTTTAAAACTTTTTATAAATATTTTTAATTTGTTGTTATGGAGACTGGCTTTGGTCCCAGCTTGGGAGAAAGGCAACTAACTAACTAAACAAATAAATAACAAATGTTGATTTAGAAACAGAGTAAGTGGGTGGAAAATTGGAGGAAGAAATGTCAGTAATTTAAAATATACAAGTGATGTGTTATTAGCACACCACTTGTATATTTTAAGCCAGAATGATGTAGTGGTTTGAGTGTTGGACTATGACTTTGGAGACCAGGGTTCAAATCCCAGCTTGGCCATGGAAACCCACTGGGTGATCTTGAGCAAGTCACACTCTCTCAGCCTTAGAGGACAGCAATGGCAAACCTCCTCTGAAGAAACTTGCCAAGAAAACCCCATGGTAGCTTCACCTTAGGGTTGCCAGAAGTTGGAAACAAGTTGAAAGCACATAGCATCAACAGGAAGGGTTCAAATTCATTATTGAAAAGTTTAAGGAAGAAAGTTCAAAGAATTTCTTCCAGTGAAATATTAAGAAAAATGGTCACATATGATTTACATAACTTGAAAGAGCATAATTAATATAGAAATAGTTAAATGTTTTCTATACTTTGGCTCATTCAGAAATCAACATTTCAAGAAATTTGAAGAAAACTAAGATGTGGAAGGGCAGCTGAAAAAAAAACACCTAAATAAATAAAAAACAACACCTAAATAAAATTTTCAAATGTAAAGATACATCACTAAATACCAAAGTCAGACTCTTGAAAAGGTAACCATGGCTCAGAGTTTGCCAGAACTGAGCAGTGTTGTTGATGACCTCTTGGAGGTGTCTCATCATAGGTCTCCATAAATCAAAGCCAATTTGGAGCTGAAAGAGGTGGCCTAAGAACACCAGGTTGGGTCCACTGCAGAGCTGTACATTGCAGTACCACAGCAACCCCACACCACACCCCCAACCTAGCATTTTCCTAGCACATCAGAAAGCCTCTCCTTTGTGCACTGGGAAAAAGGTGTCTTTGCCTGGTGGTGGTGGTGGTGGTGGTTTTTCAGTGCTCCTGCAGCTTGTAGCATCTAAATGTCATGCCTCTGGACCACTGAAAAATTGCCACCATGTGTGCAGCAGGGCACCTTCACAGTGTGTTCCTGGCATCATGGGGGCATAAGTTATGCATACGCCACACTCCCAAGCCACTGGAAACACACCATATTATGCATTCTGTTTTCCCGCTTGGTGGCACACAACAACAAAATATGCACAGGATTGTGCTTTCAGTGTTATGGAACATGATATCCAAAACTGAAACATTCAGGTATTTTCATCTGACATAATCTAAATGTCCCTGTTAGAAAGACTGACTATAAGCATCAAAATACAAACACAGATACATCATGTTATCTAGTCTTTTTTGCAGATTCTACTGCATGTGAGATTTCTTGGTTCTACATGAACAGATGAGTTTCTTCTTCAGTCAGGAAGATACCTTGGTGGCTCTAAATATAACTAAGGTTAAATTCAATCCAGTTGGAACAAGTGGAATCCAGCCTCAGTCATATTTGTAGTAAACCTACTGGTTTCATTGGGTCTTGTCTAAATATGACTATGGAAAATGCACTTTTAATTTTGCTCCCATAAAGAATGTGTGTGTGTGAGAGAGAGGCGGTGAACCTTACTATATTTAATTTTTTAAAATTCTTTCTCATTAAGAATGAAAAATGTAGAAAATTCCCTTTATATCCCTAGTTAAAATTGACATCATATTTCTCATTAATGCATTTCAGATACCTTTTGTGTGTGGATGGAGGAAAGAGAGAGAGACAGGACTGAGAAATTTATGCTTTTGAGAATACTCCTTTTAAATATTTTGACTTTGGCAATAACTCTTGTTGTATGGGTTCATTCTGCTATTCTAGAAATGCAGCCCACTGTCTGAATTTTTAAAACATCTCAAGTCAAGGTGGAATACGATGTGCTCTAAAGGCTAAGATCATCAGATAGAGTTATAGCAGAAGAAAACAGACTGGATTTCTCTGTGCACATGCTCAAAATAATAATAAATCCTGCCAAGACAAAATTCCCCAGTGGAATACAGGGGGGAAGGAGAATCTGCTATGCAAAATCTGAATAGAAAAGAAAGAACTTAATGATATCCAGTGAGTGCATCTAAAATAGTTGTATAAACACATGATTTAAAATACTTGTTTCTTTCTGTTGAGGGAATGTCAACAAGGAAGCTGATCATATTAGCTGACTATTACTTGGGCTCACTTTTATATCTTACTAAGGATTAGAAAAAGTGTAAGAAACATTCCAGGGCCAAGTAGCCAAACTGGATGCTCAACCAATTTACTGGGAGGCTTAACTTCCCTTGTTTTTAACAATAAATAAATAAATACATAAATATTGAAACGTAAGCCTCCCCCTTTGCTGTCACTGTGCTGTTGCAGTCCAAAGCAATTTCACTAGTTGCAGGAGTACGAGGAGAGCAAACAGGATTAGGAGAATGCATGCAGGGTGTTGCAATACAATGGTGACTGGAGAAAAAAATAAGCCTTAGCAATAAAAAAAACCCCTTAAAATACCATTTCAGTCATGAGCACAGGAAAGCTGGAGAAATTATTGAGGGAGAGAGCCCCAATATACCCAGGTTGGGATATATTCCACATTTCATGTATTTAAAGACAACAACAAATGATTTGGAATTGTTTCTCTGGGCAATTTAGTTTTTGAAACAAAGAAAAACTGGCACTTGCAGCCTGTCTAAACCATGCAAATGCAAGACCTTTTTCCATTGTATCATTTGTTCTGATTTTCCCCTAATTTTTGAGGGAATGAGTTCGTGATTTGTTTTTTAAATGATGACCCTAGTACAGAAGTCTAGCTTCTAACATGTGAAGATACTGGAATGGCAACAAAGACATTTTGATGTGGGAAGAACCAATTTCTGCTTCTAAGTGTGTGGTGTGGGTGGGGTAATTTTCCTTTCATTTATGTTCATGGATTATCTGAGTTAGAACAAATCAGTAGTACAGATGGATTAAAAAAACAATGAAAATGTAATAATCATACAAGAACAGATATCCTACTTATTGAAGTACATATTCATTTCATATTTTGACTGCTTCTGGATTAATTTTGTTGTTAAATGAACTTTTGAATACACAGGCTTCTAGTGGCACATTTTCAGATGTTTCACCTTCTGCCAGTCTGATGAGACATTTCAGTCCCATTTTGTTCAGAATTCACACCAGATCATACCTACAAGCTAAGCATTTTATGATCTTGTTGCCTGAAAAGTTGCAAACAAATTCTCTGAATTGTGGCCACCTGCCAAATATAAATGGGATTTGTTTGTTTCTTTGTTTTTTTAGAAAACAAAATGTAGTTAGGAAAAAAGTTGTCTCAACAAATATATCTCGTTTTGCAATTGGATATATTCTTGTGTACATATGAGCTTTTTCCATGCCAAAATATATTGGCATTCCCATGAGGTCAAAAAATATCACTCTGCATTTTTTCTTTTAAAAAAATTGCTTACATGAAGTTTAAATATGGAATTAAATATGGATATGTGAATTATTCATTAAAACAAATTGTGCTTCCTTCCATGAGGACACTAATTCCTACTGTGAGAACAAAAAGAGGATTCTGGACAAATGGCATACACTGAATTAGAGATCAGTTTATACACAGCTTCTCTGGACTCATTTAGTGGTTTCTGGAAACAACTTTCAATAACCAAGAACTATGAGATTAGTGCTGGGCACAGACTATGAAATATTTCAGTATCAATGAATGAAATTGCTGTAATGCTGAGCAAATGTATCTTTAGTTTAGTAAAGGGTTACTTGCTCTTTAGGACCACTATTAGAACATATGAATGTTGGATATGGATCTAGATCTGTTTCTATGGATCATATAGACCAAAATTGGCCAAAACAAATGAACCCAAGGTGAAAATGTGATGGGATTTTCATAATAAGATGGCAAGCAAATGAAGTTATACTTGGCATGGTACACCTAACATTTGGGCTAATAACATTTTTTTTCCTAACAGTGAAGATACCATGCAAATAGATTTTGCATTCCCCTGCCAGCTAATCCAAACACCATTAGAGCCAGCGATTTTAATGTATTTTGGTTCAAATCCTAATTAAACATAAATCTTAAACCAGTAATTAGTCTGTGCATTTTTTCCTATTAATGAATCAGTGTCCACATGAGAAGAAAAAGCATTTTCACTTCAGTTTAGATATGAGATGGAAGTACATAAGAGTTGTACTTCG